ATAGAGAAAAAACTGATGAAGATGACCGTGTCCAATAATGTAAGTACAGAGGTGACCACACTGAACGCCGTCCCCTGGAACCTGGGACTGTATAGAGGCACCATCTACTACAGTGGCTATCGTTCTCCTGTTGTAGGTGCAGTGGATGTGACAAATGACACTGTGGCATATACTCTCCAGTCAATTAGTCTGAACGGGGCTCGTGGTTTATGCATGTGTCTGATTCCCTGAATTCTGTAACTGACATTCATACTGAATTGCGTAAAATACAATGTGTGATTCGAATGGAGATTTGAGGTCATATATTTGATACGTAATTTAGTTACAAGTCAATGTGGGTGCCACAACTTATTTGATCAAATAATGCTGTTTATAGTTTTACAACTTCAGTCTGTGTTACCAACTTACATAAAAAGATGCCTCTGAATGCATTATCTCCGCTAATACAGTGAACTCCACCTTTGTAAAGTCATAGAGTGGCCTTGTCTTGTTTAGAGAGAAAAATATTTCCCCCAAAACACAAAACTGCTTGTGGACCAGGCAGGTGGTCAGCCCAGGCTTTGACATCTCCAAGACTCCTGACACCCTTGTCCAGAACACTGATGGCTCATTATACATTAACCTTGGCAAGATACTTCCTTAATGAGACCTCGCATCTACACTGTAAAATTACTTTCAAATGCCTGTCATCTGTCCTTGTCTGACTGATTCAGGTCACGAAGTTGATAATAGGTTATGATTCGAAAACCATGTCACAATCAGTCATCAAAAGCTAGACGGGTACAGTATCTCGTGATATGATTATCGCGATATGGTTCAGATTCTGCAGTATATTGGGTCATCCAGAATTAGTTCCCTTTGAATTATCTGCCCTTGATTACCAGAGCAACAAAATGTGCTCTAAAAGTACCAAATATACACTTTTTTCTTGGTTTCATATAACATTTTACAAGTGGAAGCGTCTTTATAAGTGGCTCCAAAAGTGCCCCATATTTTCTTTTGTGGATTAGAATGGTTTCATATATGACGTTTTGGAGGAATTAAGTGGCCCCAAATGGACCCATAAATCTTGCTTTTCTTATGCATTCCATTTATAAATGCCCTTAAAAAATTTGACCAACCTTTTATTTGGACTTATTAGTAGAACCTCTGTCTCTGAGTGACCATTTTGTTTGCTATGTAATAGGACATATGTTATCAATTTATCATAAAGGCCAAAGTCTTATAAACTTTGTAGGACTGTAAAATGACATTCTAGTCAAGAATCTTACTAATATATTGGATGTCACATGAGATTTTAAGCTCAAGTAGTTCACCTAAATCATTCTTTTGCTTTCATTTTGCAAAAGTTCATGTTACCACATGTTTATATTGGAGTTAAATCTGAATGAATAACTGACAAACAGTAACAATAATTACATACTGCATTGAAGTGCATTTTGTTTTAGAAAAGAACGCTGATAATGAAAATCATGTTATACTATTATAATTATCATTATGTTCGCAAAACTTGCAATACAGTACTTCAATTAAACATTCTACACTAAGGCTCAATATCATTTCATTTATCTGTAAACCATTGACATACACCCATACACAATGGGAACAGGGAGCCTGAAAGTATGGTGTAACAGCAACTAAGAAGACGATGTCACACACAGAGAGCTATTATTAATTAATGATGTACATACTTGGGTAGAAACCTTCCAGTCAATATATCACAATATGTATTGCAATATCTCTTAAATTATTGCAATATATCGCAATATGAGCATCAGGGCAATATCCAGCCCTATCAAAAGCTAACAGTCCTCATAAGTCAGCCTTCAATTCCAAGGGCCCTACCTATGTATGTATACGTTTCCCCTACAGCAAGCACTTGTTTCTTTGGAATATAAGCCTGGTTTCTCACTAAGTGAAGGTGATGACATTGACATTGACCGTGATTTATTCTGTCTAAACCTCACTCTATGGTGCCTACTTGAGAAATGTCAAACAATGAAAAGTAAACCTACATATGCATCAGGTCATTAAAGGGTGCGATTCGAAGTTACATTAATTTGTGATGGACCCTAAATATGGGCTTCACACAGTGGATCCATTTAGGGAATCTAATCTGGACGTTTTGGATAACGAGCCACGTGGCCACGTTATCAGTATTGAAGGCTGTCAGATCATCGAAATACCAGAACTGGTTAAAATATCCTGTGTTTTGATTTTTCAAACTCATGTGGATACAAAATATGATCAGCAGCAAAGGGAACATAACCGGTATCCGTGGGGTAGGCAACTTGTTACCTGAGTGTTTTATCCCCAAATCCGTCTTTGAAAACTCACATGTCATCTGCTTTCATTATGACAAATTGACCTGAAGCTTCGCAGACAGAACATTTACTGTCGCCTCCGCTTTTGAAGAATGAATAAACTCTGTACGTGTTACTCCAGCCAATCGGTGCCTTATCCCTGTCTTTTAAACACATCACTTTTCTGTGATGAGAAATCATCTTCTGTCTTCTGCTGACAAATATCAAGACTGTAAATTCCGCAGAAACCCATTACCTTACTTTACATTCCCCCATGTCGGGGTTTACAAAGGGACCGTTCATAATTTATGGCTAGGTTGGGTGATGATGATTTTTATGGAGAAGCATGTACAATGTGAATGACCCCCCTAAAATTTATGTACAAAGTAAGTGACCCCCTGCATGTCATGTACAAAGTCAATGACCCCCCCTCCCCTTTCCATATTTTTAAAGCATAATTTTAAAATATTTTTATGTACAAAATTGCTGACGCCCCCTATGGTGGCCCCCCTTAAAATCATCATATAAAGCACACACGCGCGCGCGCACACACACACACACACACACACACACAGGGCCATAAATTATGAACGGTCCCTAATTGGACAAGGCGAGTCTGCATTATGAAATACCTACATTATGTAGCATAATAAAATGTACGGAAAGACACTTGATTGTTTCACCAAATCCTAAGCACTCATGGTCAAGGATGTTGCGATACCTCATGGGGCGGTGGGGTAGCCAAATGGTTAAAGCGGTCGCTTGTCGCTCTGAAGACCAGGGTTCGATTCCCCACATGGGTACAATGTGTGGTGCCCATTTCTCATGTCCCCCGCCGTGATTTTGCTAGAATATTGCAAAAACGGCGTAAAACCACACTCACTCACTACTATTACCTCACGAGAAACTTACGTGTTGATAACGGTGTTGTTTGTTGTTGTTTAACGCCGCACTCAGCAATAGTCCAGCTACATAAGGGACCGTTCATAATTTATGGCTAGGGATTGGTGATGATGATTTTAAGGGGGGTCACCAATTTTGTTCTGGCGAGCTAGGGGGTCATCAGTTTTGTACACACGTACTAGTGGGGATCATCAATTTTGTACATAAAAATATGCTTCAATAGATGCAATTGACGAAGGTAACAACATATACTGACACTGTCTTCGTTTATTGATTCTTCTCTCATTTCTTGAACATTGTATACCACCATCTTGTAAATTACCCGTTATACCGCCATAGTTATGAGCACTACAAAACGGATTAAATTTAGGCCATGTTTGCTGATATAAATAAACTACAGTTTTTAGTTATTTTGTAGTTTAGGTCAATTTATCCAGCCTGTAATGTTAGTTGAGGTTTGGATGCGTTCCTTTGTTATGGCTAATTGATAATATACTACCCATCAAAAGTTTAGACTCATTTAAAGCACTCACTATATGTTATGTATATATGTGGTTACATCGAGGATGACTGTATCCACTAACTTGTGGAAACCAACTGCAAATCTTATGCAGATGAATTGTACGAGGATCATGCATCAAGTTTCTGATATGCATGTGCAAATATCGTGCATATTAACTGCTGCGTTTTGGTGTAAAGATAAGTTAAGAATTCGCCAATTTGCACTAAGTTTTATCATTTATTGAACTCATGATAATAATCCTTTCAACGTTACGAATTTGTTTTACAATACATCAGTTCATGTGTAAACAGGACCTTTAAACAGTACGGAATATTTTGCAAAATCTAGTTTAGAACAGTTGACTGAAGTAAGTGGCTACATTTACGCTAGTGAGTCTAAACCTTTGATGGGCGATACTTTGTTCCATGTGCATAGTTCACTAAGTGAAACATAGACCATGTCAGTTACGCTTAATGGATAGGTATACATGTATAAGGGTATCACCGGAGCAAGATCATATTATTCCCAACGAATAGTGATATAAACAAATTATGTTGAGCATCTAATGAGAATAACTTGAGATTCAAAATTGAGATAATGCTAATGACCGTAATTTGGGGATGGCGGATTCCGTTTGATCAAATTTTCACCAACTGAGAGGTTAGCAAGGTCAAGGTTACAGTCGATGATGGAAACATCCGCAGTGGATATTTCCAACAGATTACAAACCAAGTTCACACAAGTAATAATGAATTATTCACACTGTTATCGACCTCTTTTAATGCGTTTTGCAAATGTCATGGTAATTGTAAACGTCATAAAGGTCATCAGTATGTTCTAATGATGTAGGGCGGGGTATATCCCGGTGTTTAGAACGTCCTGCCCTCACGCTGAATATGTGTGAGTGAGTGATCGGGTGAGTATATCTTTACGCCTCTTTTAGAATTATTCCAGCAACATCAAGGCGTGGGACACCACAGATGGGCTTCACACACTATGCCTCTATGGAGAATTAAACCGGGTCTTCCAGTGTGACGAGGGAACACCTTAACCGCTAGACTACCCCACCATGCCGAATATGTGTGAAGATACTGTGCATGGAGCCACTTTCTGGTATCCATCACCATGTTTTGCTAAAAGCACCGTAAAACCATTTTCTTCACTATGCGTATAGAAAGTGTTTCCAGTTATAATACTGATATGGTTTGTGAAAGTTTCTGTACTATTGATATAATCAGTAAAGGGGTATTAGTGGTACAGACAGTAAAGGTGTTCATAGTGGCATTAGTGATATGGACACTGGAGGTGTTCATGGTGGTATTAGTGATATGGACAGTGGAGGTGTTCATGGTGGTATTAGTGGTATGGACAGTGGAGGTGTTCATAGTGGCATGAGTGATATGGACAGTGAAGGTGGTATTAGTGGTACAGACAGTAAAGGCGTTCATAGTGGCATGAGTGATATGGACAGTGAAGGTGGTATTAGTGGTACAGACAGTAAAGGCGTTCATAGTGGCATTAGTGATATGGACAGTGGAGGTGGTATTAGTGGTATGGACAGTGGAGGTGTTCATGGTGGTATTGGTGGTATGGACAGTGGAGGTGTTCATGGAGGTATTGGTGGTATGGACAGTGGAGGTGTTCATGGTGGTATTAGTGGTATGGACAGTGAAGGTGTTCATGGTCGTATTGGTGGTATGGACAGTGGAGGTGTTCATGGTGGTATTGGTGGTATGGACAGTGGAGGTGTTCATGGTGGTATTGGTGGTATGGACAGTGAAGGTGTTCATGGTGGTATTGGTGGTATGGACAGTGGAGGTGTTCATGGTGGTATTGGTGGTATGGACAGTGGAGGTGTTAATAGTGGCATTAGTGATATGGACAGTGGAGGTGGTATTAGTGGTATGGACAGTGGAGGTGTTCATGGTGGTATTGGTGGTATGGACAGTGGAGGTGTTCATGGTGGTATTGGTGGTATGGACAGTGGAGGTGTTCATGGTGGTATTGGTGGTATGGACAGTGGAGGTGTTCATGGAGGTATTGGTGGTATGGACAGTGGAGGTGTTCATGGTGGTATTAGTGGTATGGACAGTGAAGGTGTTCATGGTGGTATTGGTGGTATGGACAGTGGAGGTGTTCATAGTGGTATTGGTGGTATGGACAGTGGAGGTGTTCATGGTGGTATTGGTGGTATGGACAGTGGAAGGTGTTCATGGTGGTATTGGTGGTATGGACAGTGGAGGTGTTCATGGAGGTATTGGTGGTATGGACAGTGGAGGTGTTAATAGTGGCATTAGTGATATGGACAGTGGAGGTGTTCATGGTGGTATTGGTGGTATGGACAGTGGAGGTGTTCATGGTGGTATTGGTGGTATGGACAGTGGAGGTGTTCATGGTGGTATTAGTGGTATGGACAGTGAAGGTGTTCATGGTGGTATTAGTGGTATGGACAGTGGAGGTGTTCATGGTGGTATTAGTGGTATGGACAGTGGAGGTGTTCATGGTGGTATTAGTGGTATGGACAGTGAAGGTGTTCATGGTGGTATTGGTGGTATGGACAGTGGAGGTGTTCATGGAGGTATTGGTGGTATGGACAGTGGAGGTGTTCATGGCGGCATTAGTGATATTGACAGTGGAGGTGTTCATGGTGGTATTGGTAGTATGGACAGTGGAGGTGTTCATAGTGGTATTGGTGATATGGACAGTGGAGGTGTTCATAGTGGTATTAGTGGTGTGGCTACTGTTAGTGTTCATAGCGGTATTAGTGGTGTGGGTACTGGTAGTGTTCATAGCGGTATTAGTGGTGTTGGTACTGGCAGTGTTCATACTGGTAGTGTTTTGGGGGTTGGAGGGGGAAGGATGTACTGCATAGTTTGGTGAGGTGAACATATTATCCACGTCTCTCTTATACACACAAATGAATCGGGCCATAAACCCATAGTGTCGATTCTGTTCATTCACACGGGTTGGTTGACTGATATCTGGAGTATCACATAACTGTTATTGTCTGTTTAAATAGTTGAGATGGCCCCTCATTAGTTTCTAAAGCAACATGATCACACTGATTTGGTTCCCTATCATTGATTAGCTTTATCATGTAGACTGGAATAGACCATCTATAGCGTCACAAATCAACCACATCTAGGGTGAGAATAAACTCATTCCCAGGGCACGCTTCTCTTTTCACTAACGGCCAAATATGATACAAAACATATTTCCATAGTCATACAAAATATCCACTGCACGATTCCATCTATATGTGTAAACATAGGATTAGGAATCACTATTAAAGGGGTTCGTTCGTCACTCCGAACACCCGGGTTCGATTCCTCTCATAGGTACAATGTGTGAAGCCCATTTCGGGTGTCGCCCTGTTGTCATATTGCTGGAATATTGTTAAAAGCGGCATAAAACCATACTTACCCACTCACTATTTGATATCTGTTAGATAGTGATGATATCAGGTGTGTCACAAACACATGCAGAGTCTAGTCAAGAGTTCACCTGAAAATTGCATCAGACATCATTCGGGACCTTCCACCTTTTATAACACTTCACAAAGGTCTTGAATGTTGTAACATTGAGCAAATCTTTAAACAAGAGTCATGTGACCCTCTTTGACTCTTCATAGAAAGAGCATAATGTTATTCTACTGAGCCTCAAAAGACACCAAAGACTTGAGGTTTTAGTATCTTGTTTGCCAGCAACATGTATTTTCAATAGTTGTGAGGAAAGAGTGAGTGAGTAGAGTTTTAAGCCGCTTTTATTAATATTTCCTCCGTATCATGGTGGGTTACACCAGAAATGGACTTCATACATTCCACCCATGCAGGGAACTGATCCGGACCTGCGGTGTGACTTTAACCACTTGGCCACCTCACCGCACTCTGTGAGAACAGTTGCATGAACTATAGATTATTACGTCATAATCCTAACTACTGTATCACGACAGCAGACAAATAATCCAAGGCTGTGACCGATCCCTACCTCAGTTAATTTCATGATTAATAAGCGAGTCTGTCTGTCTGTTGTTTAACGCCGCACTCAGCAACATTCCAGGGCCCCGTTCCTCAAAGCTATCGGAACACTAAGACGATCTAACTCCCATACTTTAACATAAACTTACGACAGTCGTAGCGCTACGATCGCTTTGAGGAACGGGGCCCAGGTATATGGCGGCGGTATGTAACTAATCGAGTCTGGACCAGACAATCCAGTGATCACCGATCTTAACAACTGGGATATGATGACGTGTGTCAAAAAAGGGAGGGAGTCTAACCACCTGATCCCGTTAGTCGCCTCTTACCACAAGCATGGGTTACTGAAGATCAATTCTAACCCGGATCTTCACAGATTCATGAGTGAGTCAGTCAGTGAGTCAGTGAACATACGCCGCTTTTAGACGCATTCAACTCTCACGGCGCTTGGACACACACATCCAGTATAGGGAATATCCCCAAGATGATTCCCTCTGAAAAACAAACTTATTCTCTCACTTAACTCAAACGTTTAACGCCGTACACAACTGTTTTATGCAGCTGACGGTAGGGGTTCTTTGCAGAAACTTTACGTAAACAACTTCGGTAATAAACAGAATATTATATTCGTGCCCATATCATACTATGTTTACGACACTCGTGCCTAAATATCGGTTTATCCCTCGCTCTCGCTCGGGAAATACCAACATTTAGGCACTCGTGTCGCAAACATAGTATGACATAGGCACTCATATAATATCCTCTATTTATGTACCACTGTAGCAACGTGACGGATCCGTATACCGTTATGATAGACAGGACATATTCTAAGCAACGTACCTACTGTAACTGTATATGGTTGGTGAGGGAGAGGCGACTAACGGGATCGGGTGGTAAGGCTCGTTGACTTGGTTGACACGTGTCATCGTATCCAAGTTGCGTAGATCGATGCTCATGCTGTTGATTACTGGATTGTCTGATCCACACTCGATTAGTTACCGACCGCCGGCATATAGCTGGAATATAGCTGAGTGCGGCGTTAAAGAACATACTGTACAAACAAAAGACAACAACAACAACAACAAACGTATAGACAGGTACCCAACCGGAGCCCCTAGAGTTTTCTTTGTGAGATTTTTTCAGGGTTTTCTACGTCACAACTTATTCAGTTTCCCGGATTAGTTTAGAAATCATCCAGCCCCCTTAACGTTACATGGAAAATATAGGTTTTCCTTCACTAATCACAAATTCAAAATTCGCTGCATCCAAAGATGTAAATTATAGTTTCTGAATTTGCACACCAAATGACCAATATATTTACACATCTGTCCATCTTCAGTGGACCTGCTAGTTCAGCGATGTTCGCGCGAAATAAGACATCAACCCTACCGTTCTTCGTCCTCATCAAATGCACTGAATATGAATGAGGATGACCTTATTATAGGCTTCAGTGAAGGATCCTTAGTTCTATATTACTGCTTAAGCTGAGCTGGGAGTTTGTAATCATATCACATACCTTATCTATAGGCATTATTCAAGACGGTATGGAATATTACAGCTGTAGCCCCGGTTCCTGTTGTCGTGTTAAATGCACAATGTCACATATTTTCGACAATATTTTGGCCTATATTATATACAATGGGGCATATGCACTCACTCTAGCTTCCTATTGATGCAATAAAAGACATATTATCCCCTACGACTTGTCTGAAATCAATAATTGAAACTTCGAGGCGAACAGCTTCCTAATAGAGAACACTTGCCATACATGGAATGTATACAATTGCTCCGTACATCGAAAACTGTCGCACGCAGGGTTGTCGGTGTTTGCCGAACGGGGTTCAATCACAAGTTGTTAGTAGGATATTTGTAAAGAGCGCTCCAAGGGACATAACTCTATGGGGTTCGCTTGAAATAACGTTCGGCCGGTAGGGGGCGCGAGAGTCGATATAATGCAACGTGGCATTAATTCATTCGACTTTTTAAATTAATATTGTACTCTAAATACGTAACATTTTAAAATAAATTATACGGTAGCTTCCCTGAGGGCTTATAGTTAGTATTATTGAGAGAAATGAGCATTATTTATTTGTGCCTTTAAGGTTCCATACCCATTAGTACACGTACATAAACACTTCCTTCCACGCATGCGTACGTGCACGCCACCTTAAACTATTGGTTCGACGTTGAGTAAAATCGTGTCTAATTCTTCTGTTTTCTCCGAGCCGCGCAATTGTCTTTGACGTCCTCCACGTAAAATCCGAGACTTGTGTGCATAACCATGACAACCACAGATGACATACAGCTGCCCCTCCCACTCCACGCCTGGCACGTGCAAGGCATCATTTTACACATGGTGGAGGTCGTATTCAGGGAATTAAATGCAGTTTCGTGCCAAATGAAACCAATTATAACAACATTAGTTGTCTTCATTAGTTGTTCATATCTTTTACTGAACTAGAATAATGTTCTAATGGAAGTATTGATTAAAGATTAACAGTAACAAACTATCTAGTTCCAGGCATGTTAACCAGCTCATTAGCACACTTCAAGGACACGCATGGACGTTCAAAATATAGACGATATATCAACCAACATGCGTTCTATTATAAGATGATGAATCAGGGACATTTCAAAAGCAGAAACATCTCTAAAAACCTACTCAACTTGTTTTGTTCTTTTTCTTTGCTGTGCAGACCGTGGCCTTGAACTTTGACGATAAAATCTTGACGTTTGAATCAAAACAGAGGGATAGTATAACACAGACTTTAGACTGACTGACTGACTGACTTAGGTTTTACGCCGCTTTTAGCAATATTCCTGCAACATCACGGCGGGGACACCAGAAATAGGCTTCACACATTGTACCCATGTGGGGATTCGAACCCGGGTCTTCGGCGTGACGAGCCAACGCTTTAACCACTAGGCTACCCCACCGCCCCCAGACTTTAGAAGCAAATGGCGAGGAAAGTGAAGAATGTAAGGAATGTCAAATTGGTTTTGCTCGCTGTTTCGAGTTAAATACAAACATTCCTCCAATAGTAATTTGTTTGGCATTATATAGAAAGCACATTTTCCATGGCGCTGAAAATTGAAAATTAATCCAAATTTACGTAAAAATACCTTCAAACAATTTCATAAAAGTAGTGTTTTGTTTGTAAACTTTTATCAAACGAAAGTTTACATCCATTTGAATTGGTTATGAAACGAAAACGAGAAAACGGCATGAGCATCGATCTACGCAATTGGGATATGATGACATGTGTCAACCAAGTCAGAAATGTATTCTGAAGTCATTGAAGATATAACAAGGCACGTCATTTGGGATGTATTAACTGAATGAAAAGTGTCGATTATATATATAAAAAAGTAGGGGAACTTCATTTTTAATTTACGGTTAAAACAATTGGGAGATATATCTGAGTCATTCCTGCAGAATCAGCCCAAGATCCGAAAGAACATCACCAGAGATGAACGTAACGCCATCACCGAACTACGCAAAGACCCAGAAATCACCATTGTAGAAGCTGACAAAGGAAAGGCAGCTGTTGTTATGGACACACCTAAGTTCCTGGAATTAGTCGTGATAGCTCCACCTACCAACTTTTAGACAAGGACCCCACTGCAAAACTGGAACGTAAACATAAGAAGCAACTAAAAAATTCTACATGACAACCGTGAGATTAATGACATTATCTTCAAGAAACTGAACCCTATAAACTCTCAGCCACCATATGCCCGTGCAACTGTCAAGATATACAAATCACCAGTGAAAACCAGAATTCTAGTGTGTTCTCGTGGATCAGTCTATTACAATACCGCCAACATCTGGCCAGACTATTAGCACCCTTAGGGAAACAAGGTCAATCATTTACTGGCGACTCATCCTCATTTGAAGACAGACTCAAGAATATCAACACCAATGTCACCATGGTCAATTATGATGTGGTAGATTTATTTACAAACATCCCACTTGAAGAAGCCTTAGCAGTACTCCGCTCCAGACTAGAAACAAGCATTAACGACCTTGACGCCCAGTTTTCAACAGACAACATCACCAGTCTTGCATAGAGTTGTTTTGAAATGTCTTACTTCACATGGCAAGACCAAATATATCATCAAACACATTGTCTACCCATGGGCTCGCCACTGTCACCCCTCATAACTGGAATCTACATGACGAATTTTAAACAAGCAGCCCTATCCACATCGCCAATCCAACCGCTATGCTGGTTCAGAAAAGTGGATGACACTTTCACAATCCTGAACAGCAATGATGACCCTTCTCTCCTGCTCAACGTATTCAGTTTACGATGGAAACTGAAAAGCAACACCAGCTCCCCTTCCTCGACATCTCCAGTCAGAACTTCAACACCAGCTCCCCTTCCTCGACATCTCCAGTCAGAACTCCAACACCAGCTCCCCTTTCTCGACATCTCCAGTCAGAACTTCAACACCAGCTCCCCTTTCTTGACATCTCCAGTCAGAACTTCAACACCAGCTCCCCTTTCTCGACATCTCCAGTCAGAACTTCAACACCAGCTCCCCTTTCTTGACATCTCCAGTCAGAACTTCAACACCAGCTCCCCTTTCTCGACATCTCCAGTCAGAACTTCAACACCAGCTCCCCTTTCTCGACATCTCCAGTAAGAACTTCAACACCAGCTCCCTTTCTCGACATCTCCAGTCAGAACTTCAACACCAGCTCCCTTTCTCGACATCTCCAGTCAGAACTTCAACACCAGCTCCCTTTCTCGACATCTCCAGTCAGAACTTCAACACCAGCTCCCCTTTCTCGACATTTCCAGTCAGAACTTCAACACCAGCTCCCTTTCTCGACATCTCCAGTCAGAACTTCAACACCAGCTCCCTTTCTCGACATCTCCAGTCAGAACTTCAACACAAGCTCCCCTTTCTCGACATCTCCAGTCAGAACTTCAACACCAGCTCCCCTTTCTCGACATCTCCAGTCAGAACTCCAACACCAGCTCCCCTTTCTCGACATCTCCAGTCAGAACTTCAACACCAGCTCCCCTTTCTCGACATCACCAGTCAGAACTTCAACACCAGCTCCCCTTTCTCGACATCTCCAGTCAGAACTTCAACACCAGCTCCCCTTTCTCGACATCTCCAGTCAGAACTTCAACACCAGCTCCCCTTTCTCGACATCTCCAGTCAGAACTTCAACACCAGCTCCCCTTTCTCGACATCTCCAGTAAGAACTTCAACACCAGCTCCCCTTCCTCGACATCTCCAGTCAGAACTTCAACACCAGCTCCCCTTCCTCGACATCTCCAGTCAGAACTCCAACAACCAGCTCATCACCTCTGTCTACCGCAAACCGACCCACACTGACCAATATATATCCACCACCACTCCAGGCATCACCCCCAGATCAAGAGAGCCATCATGTCTACATTAGTCAGACGTGGGCCCATCAGACCCAAGCCTGAACCATCCCCCATCCTTATTAACATTCCCTATGCAGGATCCATCAGCCATCAAATGAGCAGACTAATGAAGAAAACTGCCAGAACTGACACCATATATTCATCTGGTAGAACCCTAAAAACCTCATTAAAAGCCAATGGCAATGGCAGCTGCAACATCACTCCCAACCCAACAGGATGTGTTTACAAATTGGAATGCAACTGTGGTGACACTTACATTGGTGAGACTGGCAAGATGATTGGTGTACGACGTGAAATTTGCATGTGTACGATTTTCATTTTTAAAGAACAAATTCTAACAACTGTGGGGTGCAAGATGATTGTCAAAACTTATGGTCAACAGTGATTTATCAACCTTCTTGAAAACCGTCAAAATCAAGAATGACACCCCATGCACGTGTATGGGGCTACTGCGTGGTGCACGTGCATCCCATGTGTTTAGGGATGGTGGTGATAAAGAAATGGTGGTGTGTTCATCAGATGTCTGTCTTTGAAAAGTTTATTAACGCTTATACTTCCTATCCAAATTGAAAGTTCAGGTTCCCCTACCTTTTTTGGAAGATTGTATATCTTGGGTCATAATTATGGAATCCAAGAAGGGATATTGTCACGTCGTCTTCCTCACACAAAAACAAGCAAAAGTGGCAAACTAACCAAAGTGCGCCAATGCAACAGCGCGACATTTCGGCCATTGGTCGCATTGTCGCGCTGAATATCCAAATACGACATAGCAACAATTTTCAACGTCAAAATATGTCACCTTGTCGCACTGTCGCCTCATCTAAGATGAGTAAAAAAAGGCTGAAAATGCGCGACAACGCGACAATGTCCCTTCTAGGATTCCATTCATGACTGTCACTTGTTACGCACAATGATGCATGAGGAAAGTCCAGTACCAAAACCCATTAACGCTTGCACAATAACAGTATCTTGATAATGACGTCAATACATTGCATGACCTCATTAGATGTCAAGAGATGCGACCTTTCATCGATAACGTGTGTCTCCTGAAAACGTTATGGGTATAAGTTCATACTCGCCCGTCATGTTCGTCCCAGTTATTCTTTTTCATTTTATTTAATTTTTTGTCATTAATATTTATTTAAACACAACATGTTGACCTGGGCAAAACACCAACGGACACCCTAAACTTGTCTGCCGGCTCCTTTCTGACCTAAGGGAGCAGTGGGGTAGCCTAGTGGTTAAAGCGTTCGCTCGTCACGCCGAAGATCCGGTTCGATTCCCCAAATGGGTACAATGTGTGAAGCCCATTTCTGGTGTCCCCGCCGTGATATTGCTGGAATATTGCTAAAAGCGGCGTGAAACAATACTTACTCACTCACACTGACATAAGAGGCATAGGGGACCCAATTCGCCGCAGTTCGCTTTATTTCCCTCACACACGACAGAAATACATGATGGTGGGTTCGAATCCAGGATCACTCCGATTATGTCTCTGGGTTTGTCAGTACCATACCCGTGCTCATGGGTTGCACCAAAGTGGTAAACGTCTGAGACGTCTGTATCACTTCGGGATTTCTCCCACGTGAAGCAGACCAGGGACCCGATGCACGAGACGTTCGTCTAACTCACTCACTCACTCTCGTCCCGATATGGCTGCAATATTGCCGATGTGACGTTAAATAATAAATCACTCACTCACTCACAAGACGTTCGTAGAACAATACCATTCTAAAGTGATACACTTCCGTGGTGCAAGAGTGGAAACAACAACCGAGGGTTTCAAATGTGGAGATGAATATATGAAAATAACGGATAAATATACATGTTTCGGAATATTACTCACAGAGCACTTCGATTACAAAAGAATGGCAAAGGTATCACCCAGCTCTACAAGAAGAGCGCGTGGGCTTTCATTAGCAAAGTTCAAGGTTTTAAGTGGCATGGAGTTTGGGACTTTTACGAAAGTTTATGACTCTATGGTTAGGTCAGTGATTGGATATTGAGCGAATATTTGGGGCACCTACATCATGCCATGCATAGAAGCTGTCCAGAACCGAGCCATGAGATACATCCTAGGGCTGACAGTGGTGGTCAGTCATACGACTATACATGCGCCTCAAGAGAATGGACCACCACCAGCAGCAGCAGCAGTATAGGATTTTCCAACTGGACCTTCCGAGTACACAAGACGTTGCAGGAGTCTAGCCTTGCTCACGTTATACCAGTAGACAAACTATATGGTCATCAGTATATAGTGAACACTACCAAAAGTAGGACATTACAGCATTTCAAAGAAAATCGGAGGGAAGAAGTTTCACAACAGGAAGGAAAGAGAGGATAGGCGGAAATAAACGTGCGACACTTTCAAAGATTGTCTATGTACGAACCTGTATGCCGAGGACATACAGGTCAGCTCTAGGCAAGTTCAGGATTGGGGTGACGCCCCTTAAAGTAGAGATGCCCCTTGGCGAGAGAATGTGTCCTATTTGTGCTGATGGTGTAGAAGACGAGGAGCAGGTACTCCTGAGATGTTGTCTGTATGAAACCGAAAGGGGAGAATTATTGAGAATTTTTATGATCCACGGAAAGTCAGTTTTATCCTGTCTACCCAGGCTGGGATATATTTAAGTGCCAAAGCCTGCTTTAACATATTATATAAAAGATACAATTTCCTATTCTCTTAATTCATGTTTGTATTTTTCATACGTTTTAAAGTGTATATATTATGTTTATCTGTATTTTAATAGGTTCTTTTAAGGAAAGTCTCTCATAACCCTGTGTAGTGTGGCTCATTACATTTTATACGTGTATACTTTTACATACGGTATGTATTTTATGGGTGAAATAATAACCGCCAAGCGAGTGGTTCGCTGTGATAACCACCTCGAGGGAATCACGAGCTTAAGGTTGTTATTTCGCACATACCACAAGGTCAAAAACATTCTTATTCAAGTTGAAATATTATTAACTGCAATGTGTTGATAATATAATAAAATAAAAAAATGAATGGTTTTGTATTTCTTTATTGAAGATGTTTCCAATAAAAACATTGAGGTAGAGGCATCGGGTTGTCAACCCCGATGTGCCAAGGGAAAAGTTCTTCTCGAGGTGCGATACCGGGAATAAGGTGAGGCGAAGCCGAGCCTTTTTTCCGGTATCGCACCAAGAGTTGGTCAGATAACCGCCCTAGGGGGTT